TCGATTGTTACGTTACTATTTCGCGCACTTTGAATTTTCTCTCTCATTCCATTGTTACGTTAGCATCTCACGCACTATTAGGATTGCCTTTCATCCGTTTGTTAGGTTAACATCTCATTTTTCACCAAAACTCGTCTCATTTTTTCATTTTTCTTATCAGTCAGTAAGGTATCAGGAAAAATCTATTCTATCCAGACTAGAGGTGTTTGTATTGTTTTGGGCAGCCCGTAATTTTCACGTCCCTGGTGATGTCATGCAAAATGAAGTTGGAAAGTAAAAGTGGGAAAATTTGTACTATAATAATAATAATAATAATAATAATAATAAAACTAATAACAATACACTTTATTTGAAGAGCGTGGTACTGAATAAAAAAAATTAGCATTACTATATCTTGTAGCACGACTATGTTGCTGACTGTTGATTTGTAAAAAATCTTCGATGTCTCAGGGAACTTCACCCTTGATGCGTTTGTACGCCACAAAACATTTCACTACTTTGGATTCTTTATAAAAATGAGGCCACTACAGAATATTTAAAAGCTTAACACCAGACGCCTGGTCATCAACGTCGGAAATTGCCGTTGCTGCTCTTTTTTTCTGTGCATAGAAACACGGCCTAGATTCTTCTTATCACAGCTAGTCCAGATTGTGTTAACATAATGCAAAAAGTATCTTATCAAAGCATTATAAAACAATAGCCTTTGTTTCATCGGCAGGCAAGACTTATTATTATCTTTTCCAATATTCCAATTTGCTGAGACAGCTTTTTACAAATTTTCTCTCCGTGGGAAGTAAAATGAAAGTTCAGACTCAATTTCAACGCCTAATATTTTAACACTAGGGCTCGTTATTGATCTTTGAGGGGAGACGCTTGTCAGGGATTAGTACAGCCTTGGTCTTGCCATCCAACCATTTCAGTAATTGAAGAGTTTAGGGTTTCCTCTAGCCCTCTGGCTGAGCTGTTAATTATACAGGAGGTTGACATTGTATCTTCTAATGAATGAAAGTTTCGTCATCAAGAAATAAATATATTTAACAAATAGATTCCAAGTTGGAATCTATTTGTTTTATACAATAAAGAATTTAAAAAAGTTTTAATGATGACGTCATCTATACGTCTGTCCTCCAATAGATCATAAGTGAGAACCAATCAGAATGCGTGCATAACTGAGCTTATTATATAATTCTTGTTCGATAATGAGAAGTAGCCTAAAGAGGTATTGGTTAGCCATATGTTATTATCAAACAACTTTAACCTGTGAAGAGGAAAAAAGAATCCTACTTGGAATCTTGCGCCATCTCGATGGTCCAGGCGATCATGTTAAGAACAGCTAACAGAATCTTGCGAACGAGGCCGAGGTAATGTCACCCTCGTTACCAAGTAAGTTTCTAAAAAAAATTGTGGTACTTCGTGGGTGTGGGTATAACAAAATAATTTGATTTCATCAACTGAGTTGATAATGTGGATTAGCCACCGTAAATAGTTTCTAAGCTGATGTTTC